CTGCTAGGTCGTTCGTGAATAACGTAGATTCAAAAATCTTAATATATCCAAAAATCTGGTGCAGTTTAACAGGGACAATGCTAATTAGGATTTCAACAACTGACTGAAGACTAAAGCTGCATAGTGTGTTGATGGATTCACAGCTGGTAAAATGCTACATTCATCTCAGCTGCAGGACAGATGCAACACACTCCCATCCCTATATACAGTATCTGCACTGTACTTACATTTGTCCAAGAGATACACATTTGAGTTTTTGTGTGTGTTAAAATACTCAAGTCGTCGTAGAAAACCCGGCCGCAACACGACTTTCATCCTCAGCATCTAACAGCATTGTAGGCTTTTACCCTTCACCGGAGTGTCCTCACAGCAATAGTCCACAAAGTGAATTGTCACCATTTTTATGCCGGATGCCTTTCTTGACGCGACCCTCACAATCATAGCAGGGGTCGATGAATTGGTGGATTTCAACCATAGCGCAAGTCACGGTAGCCCTCATTTAAAATGTACTAAAGATGTATGTTTCTTTTTCTCTTGCATTGATTGTGCGTCTGTGTAGTTGCCAAAACACCGACCACTGTTTCATTACATCACAAAATCTTGCAGGGTATACCTAGAAAAGGTCACATAAAGAAAGGAACTGTTGACCTTGTGCCAGGTTCTACACTCATTACCTTCTCTACGCATCCATTGAATCATTTTCAGTTCAAATATGCATACATGCATTTTTTTATTAGAGCACACCTACAAATCATTTATGAGATGCCAAGGTTATTAGTGGAAAGCCTGCAGGTGAAGTCAAGAAGAGATCCTCAAAATACAAGTGTTGGACAGATACAAGTGAAGACAACTTTTTAAACGTACTACCAAATACATGACATTTCCTTTTTCTTTGATGTGGACTCTTTAAATAACTACATGGAAGGACATCAACGCAGGTTAATAGTAAATAAATAGTAATAGTAATAAATAGTAAATAGATTTTATATCAGTTTTTAAAGTTCATTATTGCCATATAGTTTCGGGCATAATTTGGGGGTTCATGGGTCACAAGTGACTGGCGGGCCAGGAGTTTGACACCTCTGATTTTTTTGTCACCATTTTTATGCCAGATGCCTTTCCTGACGCGACCCTCACAATCAGAGCAGGGGTCGACGAATTGGTGGATTTCAACCAACGACCCATAGCGCAAGTCACGGTAGCCCTCAAGTCACAGTAGCGCAAATCACGGTAGCCCTCATTTAAAACGTACTAAAGATGTATGTTTCTTTTTAATCTCTTGCATTGATCGTGCGTCTGTGTAGTTGCCAAAACACCGACCACTGTTTCACTTCATCACAAAATCTTGCAGGGTATACCTAGAAAAGGTCACATAAAGAAAGGAACTGTTGACCTTGTGCCAGGTTCTACACTCATTACCTTCTCTACGCATCCATTGAATCATTTTCAGTTCAAATATGCATACATGCATTTTTTTATTAGAGCACACCTACAAATCATTTATGAGATGCCAAGGTTATTAGTGGAAAGCCTGCAGGTGAAGTCAAGAAGAGATCCTCAAAATACAAGTGTTGGACAGATACAAGTGAAGACAACTTTTTAAACGTACTACCAAATACATGACATTTCCTTTTTCTTTGATGTGGACTCTTTAAATAACTACATTGGACGGACATCAACGCAGGTTAATAGTAAATAAATAGTAATAGTAATAAATAGTAAATAGATTTTATATCAGTTTTTAAAGTTCATTATTGCCATATAGTTTCGGGCATAATTTGGGGGTTCATGGGTCACAAGTGACTGGCGGGCCAGGAGTTTGACACCTCTGATTTGACACCTCTGATTTTAAGCATGCAGGGTGCCATAGAAAGCAGTCTAAACAGCCAAGTCTATCGAGCCCATATGAGGCGTCGATGTACTGGACTAGCCTGTCATTTTTTTCCCCTTTTTGACAGATCTGTACTTGCGCTAAAAGACCTGAAAGAAGATTTAGTGAGTGTCCAGATGACACAGTGTAGACTGCTAATGATTTACATGACGCACACAGGCTGACTGTGTCTTTCAGTACCACACACATCCAGTTACACACCACTCCTCTGCAGCCAACCATCCTTCACAAGCCAGACTGGATAATTGAATCTACACCTACACTTCTGCGTGGATGACTTTGGAGTTCTGTTTCTGCAGTGGGAGATTTGAGTGCGTCACAGAGAATGGTGGAGCCCGGAGGTCGAGCACTTTTCTCATTATTTTCTCGGACGCCTGCCAGAAAACCTGGTTGCCCAGCAAGGCTCCAGCTTTTCCCGGCTGAGGAGTAGAACAGATGGTGGAGGCAGCACGGAAGAAGATGCCCCCCCACAGCTGCATAGGCTGCAAGGCGGAAAACTGCTGATGTGAAACATTGTATAAGTGAACTACAAAAGGGGGTGTAATACTGTCAACTTGTATCGACAAAGTACAGCTTTCTGACAGGCAGGCAATGTACTATACTGTTTGAGTACCTTTAAAATGGATGAAAATGATTTTGACTTTGTCACGTAGTTTTGGAGTCCAAGACTCAGTTCCAATGAGGAACTAGGTGTTTTGTGAAGAGTATTAGCATTAGCATCATTATCTGCAGGTGAGTGGGAAACAGGTTTGAAAAACCAGCCAGCCAACATTTAAAGGTGCGCTTGAAAGACTTGGGTTGAGCATGAAAACACCTGCAACCACGGCCGATCACTTTGGTCTTCTTTGAAAGAGGAGATCAGACAGAGTGTAGGACTGTAGGAAAATTGTCTTCACTGTTGCCGATGTAATAAAACTTAATGTACAGTACAGGTCTGCGGCGGCTGAAGAGGTATAAAGCTGATTAATCACACCATTACAATATGAGGAAGGGTTAATGAAAGGAGACAAAGGTGAGAGGTTACAATCAGCAAAGAGCAGTTGGCGCCATGCCATCGAGGAGTAAGAGAGATGTGATCTTAGTAAAGTGTACCAAAGGTCAAAACTGACTACACTGGGGATTTTTAGGCTCTTGAGAAAGCATGTGAAAAGGTGTCCAGAATGGAACTGTGCTGCTATGGTTTGGTCTGAACAGGCTGCGGCTCTAAGCACCTGCTGGTTTCTAAATGATGATGGACAGCTGAATCGATGAGGAAATGCAGGAGTCTTCACGGCTGGTGACATTTGCAGATGAAACAGTAGTAAGCGTTGAAGAGGAGGAAGCAAATGAAAGACAGTCTGTAGATGTGGACGTCTGCACTGGAGAGAAGAGGAACACAGATTTGTGGCACAAGGACAAAAATGTGTCCAAATAAGGGGGGAGAAAAGGTAAAGATGGAGTGTGCTGGGGGAGGGAAGGTCTTCAAGTTTACAGCTGTGAGGACGGGAAGACGTAAATGGGATAGAGTGGTTGGACCTAAGTGTAAGGAATGACTGTAGAGAAGACGTATGGTGGTGAGAGACAGGACGAGATGTTGGCAAAGCGGCTGCTGTAGTGAAGTAGAAAATAAGAGACACACAGCTGTTACAGGAAACATTTCTGTGTTTCTTTCTTCAATTCCTGAAAGTACATCAGTGTTGTTTTCAACTAAACAGGCCCTGGTTTTAATAATGAGTACATCAATTATGGGATCAATGAAACTAGACGACTGTTATAATTTCTTTAGAATATACAGTACTGTAAGTGTTTTGCTGGAGCCAACAAAAGGTGACTGAGGGGAAAAATAATAGAAGGATGGATGGACAGACAGACAGACAGATAGACAGATAGATAGATATTCATATTATGTACAGTGTATGTGGACAAATGAACAGCACCAGGTGCACTCACTGATTTGCACTCTGACTGTACAACTGCATATACGGTATAATGAAACGAACCAGTTCATTTCTTCTCATCAAGCTTTTTGCAATCACAGGTGCAACAACTAAGCTCGAACTTTACCAGCCGCTGCTGCCCGCTGTCTTTCCTGGTAAATAAAGTTTATTAAGAGTGGTTTACACTGCAACATATGCTGTCGCACATATGGAAACGGTTTATGTGGCAGGGCCTTGTTTGTCCAACTAACGGCTGTTTATGGTGTGTTTACTACAGTAGATATAGGGACCAATAAAAAGGCTTTCTCCACATAACCGACAGCATTCATCCAACCTTTTACAGTGACACCATCAAAACATACATGTTCAAAGAGCGCATGATGAATAAGATTAGTAAAAAAAAAAAAAGACATATTTTATGTATATTGTGAGCATGATGAATAAGATTACTTAAAAAAAAGACATATTTTATGTATATTGTTGAGCTGGAGAGCATGTATTAGCACACATTTGGAAAAGCTAATGGCTACTTTTAGATTTGACCCTCAATTTCAACGCTTAATTTTTAATTATTTTGCCGCACAATATTATCTCAGTCAGTTCCATCATAGATGCTACGTATGAAATACAAAAGTAAACGAGTATATTTGATAGAGACTGAATTGTGTTATTAAATTATATATTTAAACATCTATATATCTAATTATTTATTTAAATGTACTGTTTACAAATCAGCGGTCCCCAACCTTTTTTATTCCAAGGACTGGTCAGCCAGTACCACTTGTTGCTACGGACCGGTAGCAAGTCGCTGAGCATTGAAGGATCATTAAATTAAATTCAAAATAAAACATCTTTTAGACTTTATTCTGTTCTGAAAAGGACGTATTATTTTGAAATATTACCAGATTATCTTTAAATAAAAAAAGTTGTCACACTGCGTCCCAGCACTATATGACCAACGGACCGGTACTGGTCCGCGGCCCGGGGGTTGGGGACCCCTGTATTAGAGTACTATCTGTCAGTCAACATCCTGAGATGACAATTAAAAAGTATTGTGAAGAATTATGTGAAAATGAAGATTGAAAACACATGTATTTAAAGTTATTTTTAACAGGGGTGTGTAAACCGTCCGCGCACGCCGGTGGGGATGGGTCAGGTGAGGGTGGAAGTGTCAGCGGTGCTCGTGACTCTACCTGCCGGTCATTAGCTGGCTTCTGGAGGGGCTGCAGAGTGGCTGAACATAGTAGTTCTCCAGTTTCACTCCCTGCGCTGCCAGTCGGTCCAGTGCCGGGGTTTTGATTTCGGAACCGTGGTATCCGACATCCCGGAAGCCCTGGTCGTCCACCAGGATGAAGACGATGTGCGGCTGGGAGCCGCTGGGCTTGTGCAGCTCGTTTCCTCGGTTGTGCTGCTCAGCCTTCCAGTTGTCCCACGACATCTGAATGCTCCACGTCTGCGAGATGATGAAGCCAAGTAGGAGACTCACCGGGACCCAGACGATAAACATGGTTCTGGACTGAGATCCGCCGCGGTGGCGGTCAGTGGCGGTGAGTGCGGGCGGCGGTGCGTTGCGCACGGTCAGGGGGAACAGCAACGCTTGGAAATCGGGTTCGCATGGTCTCCTCCGCGCCGAGTCACGCTCCGTGGAGAAAAGTCACCTCACTCGCATCCACGTGGAAATCAAACATCTCACTGAACAGCTGCTGTTGAGTGCGCGTCTCTATAAAACTGTCTGTTCACACATCACACGGCGGTTTGGCACCGCACACCGAGCCTGGATTCTGTCAAAAGACGCGCAGGAACTTCACGCTCCGCGCGATCGCAAAGCGAGCAGCGGCGCCGCGTCCACGGCTCGTGTTCTCCATCCCGTCAGCCGCAGCGGCTCATGCGAGCTGTCAAGCCGCCAGGAGTGAGACTCAGACTGCGGCTGTGGCGGTTACTACCCCGCGCCTCCTGCTCCAGCTGTGCTCTCGGCCAACGGACGCTGATGATGATGATGATGATGGTGGTGGTGGTGGTGCGTTCACGATCAACTCCTGCAACTCTTGTCTGGGAGTTGGAGGAGTGGGAGGGAACGCAGCAGCTGTCATTCAGTCACTGAGTGTGTGTGTTAAAAAGGGCTAATGTGCATATTTTTTTCTTAAAAATAAACATGAGTCATAAAGAAAATAATTACATTCTGCATATTCTTTTTTTTAGCTGCTCTCTGCAGGCGCGGTGTTTGCCAATCTCTTGCCACCTGTGCTCTTACATCCAGGGGTGCTGCCAAGAATTCTGGGGCATGGAATGACATTGCCCCCCCCCTATATAACACCCCTAAAAACATGACTACATTTATTATTATATTTATATTTATACCCATGGAGAATTGACTATTTGATGCGTCGATGTTTACCCACTACAAGAAATACCTAAGTATTTTACAGTAACATGATACCGTCTTCAAACTGCTCCACCTTAACTTCCAGTGAAGATCTCAGCATCTTCATCTCCTGCTCTTCCAACTTAGCCTTTGGTCTATTAGACACAGCCGCTGTCCCTAAACCATGCATCATAGCAGATCTCACTAAACAGGCCTTAGGTCAGGTTTAGTGAGATCTGCTATGATGTATGGTATTAAACATCAATTTCATTAGGGTGGGCTTTAGTTAAACATAAGCAACACAAGAGAAAGTGAAATAACGTGTGTACAGACTCAAACACCTGGCTCGGGGCCACGTCCAGCTCACGAATCCCCTTCATGTGGTCCATGACTAGATTTAAACAACAACATCTTTTCTTTTTTCTTTTTTTTTTTGATTCATTCAAATCATTAAACTGGTCAATTAAGAATAACATCACTGTAGTATTACACATACTTTTCCTGAAATATCTGGCCCTCAAATGAAACAATGGTCCCAGCTGTGGCCCTTCAGCTCATTTGGGTTTCGTTGATTAGAATGAATTAATACGTTTTCATCGACCCAAAATGGCAGCCGCAGCCTAGCTCCGGCTCTTTTTCCATGTTTTGGTGAAAGCTAAAATAAAACCATAAACCTATTTCCAGCTACTAAGTGGGATAACTTGTAGCAGATGTGCAGCGTCGGTTCCAAAGAATAAAATGTTTGCAAGTGGTAAAACAACCAGTTAAAGGCAATATTACCACATAGTGAAGCCACAGTGCAGGTCAGAGAGGAAAGCTAGGAACGTCTGTGGAAATACCTCTTCATGTTGGTTTTGGTCCAGGAGAAGTTTTTATCATTCCAGGCAGGCAGTGGACTGGACCATCTGGAAGATCATAGAAATCCATCTGCATTTTAGCAACAAGATCACAGATAGTGAGACAGTACATTTTATAAAGTGAGGTTTTTGATCGAAAGTGTGTGATGAAGCAGCGCGGACGCCAAATAGATGTAAATCACTTTTACAAATAAAAACAATGTACAGCCATTTTGGTGTTTGTTCAAGGCCCTCTCTCTGCAGCACACTGGAACTTTACCTCCTGCACAGCTGTTCACATTTTCCTTGGAAACACAGTATTTTTGTAGCCTGTTGACAAAATGACTATTTGTTCGCATGGTGCGTGAGCAACAGAGGTCGGACTTAGCTAGGGCTGAAAAGCCATGAGGAGGCCTTGTAGTTTGATTTAATCCACACCAAATTCTAACTGTAACTGTAAGTTTGACTATGTGTCACGACACTACGCTTATCAAACAGGTTTGTCCCTATAAGGCAGGGGTGTGAAACTCATTTTGGTTCTGCTGTTAACAGGCTGTGGAACACTACGGGACCAACAAAGTTTTTGTCATTCCCGGTCTGGGATTACCTATAAATAACAATAACTCCATGATTTTTTTTCCCTTGTGTTTTAATGCAAAGGCATACATTAGATAAATCTTCATATTAAATAAACAATAATTCTACAAAACTTTCCTGAACATAAAGTTTGTGTATTGTTTTTTTTTTTTTTTTTTTTTTCAAAATTCAACAAGCGGGCCGGTTTTGGCCCACGGGCTGTATGTTTGACACCCTTTTCAACTTCCAAACCCATTTATTTTTGCACATACATAAACACAAATGGCCCATACTACTATTATAAATTAATATTATATGAATTTAAGTCACAAGTTGAAGCTTAAGTCTGAAACCAGTCCATGTAAATCAATACTTAAAACAATCCTTGTGCTCAGTTTTCCTGCAGTACTTGGCCACTCTCTTTTCCCACTGTATCACAATGATAATTTTATTAGTACGATATTGTACAGTGTGCAATTAATATGCTAGCAATGCTTGATTCGCTGATAATTTCTATTTTCCCAATGGACTCCTGAGGATTAATAAAGTTATATCTATCCATCTATCTATCTATCATCCATCTATCCATCCATCTATCCATCCATCCATCTATCCATCCATCCATCCATTAAATCCTTTTACACCAAAGTCCAGTGACAAAATTGGAGACTTTTATTTGCCGGTAAAAGGTAGCAAATGTATTCACAGATAACTGTCCTTTAACATTACTTGTAAATGTAAAGTTGTGATTCATGTTATTAGTATGAACTTTTTGGATTTACTACATTTAAACTAATCAACATGAGGCAACAGTACACTCAAAGTACATGTTTTACATGCATGGCTGAGTTTGTGGCTAAAATATGTTTTCATCATTTCCAGTGAGAGTGTGAGAGCGTCTATGACACACTGCAGGGTGGTTCGGTGACCAATGCTCCACAAACCTACAATTTTTGGATTAGCTATAGACAGGAGACTGCAAACCCTCACCACCATAACCCTACCCCCAAAGAAGCTCCATTCTGCTAGCTTGCGGCAAATGCTCTATAATGCCACACAATTTCCACAAGATTTCCAGACTAGACAGTTTTGCGTGGGTGAGACCGGAACTCTGGGTTTCTTGCCTTGAAATCGTTTTTGAAAATGACTCTGCATAATCAGCATCTTCTTAAAGAAACTTTTAAGCATTCAAGGTGGATGTGTAGAGCAAACAAAACTTAGCTACTGCCTTGAGGTTTGCGGCTTTTTCTTACGAGATATCCCTGACGTTTAGCGCCTCTATCTGTACCGCTAAATTATCCAGCACCCAGTGGATAATTCCTCCACCAATACGTAGCTTTGTCAGTGTCTGAGTGTGTCAGCACTGGATAAACAGAATGCTGGGTGTAAGCTGTCTGCCCAAAGCATTGATCTGTTTCCTTTGTGGTCCCCCTGTGAGCAGTAGAATTTGTTTTTCTCATCTGGATTTACACTTCTTAAACCTGGCATCTGATTCATGTGTCGTCCCGGGAGAGAAATACACACTGATTACAAAAACAGAGCAGGTGAAATGTATTTCACATCCATGGAGCTTAAATAATTACGGCATCAATGATGAGTGACACGAGGACTGTCACCGCGTAGGTTTATTTTTGATACATGATGATGGTTTCTTTTTGTGTGTTTTTTTTTAAAGCACAGGTTTATAAGACTAGTGCGCCATCTAGTAGTAAACCAGACACCCTGACTTTGCCTGGATCCTCACTACCATTGGTATGAAAAGCAAAATTTAACCAGATCATCCGCTGTTATAGAATAACCGTGAATAAATTATTCAACAAATCTTTAGGAGTCCAGTCTGAGAGAATGTTTTAATTTCCGCCTAGTAACATAAAAGCTCATTTTACTAGGCAGACTTCAACAAGTACAGTTTGTTTGTGAAATTTTTAAAGTTTTAACTATAGCATAATAGATAGATAGATAGATAGATAACATTTGTTTGTGAAATTCTTAAAGTTTTAACTATAGCGTAATAGATCGATAGATAGATAGATAGATAGATAGATAGATAGATAGATAGATAGATGGATGGATGGATGGATGGATGGATGGATGGATGGATGGATGGATGGATGGATGGATGGATGGATGGATGGATGGATGGATGGATGGATGGATGGATGGATGGATGGATGGATGGATGGATGGATGGATGGATGGATGGATGAATAGATAGATAGATGGATGGGTGGATGGATGAATAGATAGATAGATGGATGGGTGGATGGATGAATAGATAGATAGATGGATGTATGGATGGATGGATAGATAGATAGATAGATAGATACTCCAAGTTACAGTATCAGTATCGGACATGAAAAACCTGTATCGAGCCATCCCTAACTTCCATCGGTAAGTAAGTTTGTGGTTGACAAGGCAACTGACAAATGGATTGCGGAGGATTGTAGACCAATTCATAGTAGTGAGTCCTATTTTTCCACATCAATAATTCAATCATTTGGATAATTCACAGGTGTCCAGCACAAACATCAACCTCCTCGATGGATAGATAGATAGATAGATAGATACTCCAAGTTACAGTATCAGTATCGGACATGAAAAACCTGTATCGAGCCATCCCTAACTTCCATCGGTAAGTAAGTTTGTGGTTGACAAGGCAACTGACAAATGGATTGCGGAGGATTGTAGACCAATTCATAGTAGTGAGTCCTATTTTTCCACATCAATAATTCAATCATTTGGATAATTCACATGTGTCCAGCACAAACATCAACCTCCTCTTACCTTGTTCTTGTCATGTTTTTCCACTATCTCGATCTTGATTTAAAACTGCTTTTTAGATTTTCAACCATGTACATCATATGTGTCAAACTCCAGGCCGGCCTTTCAAGGGGAACTGTATAAGCTGAAGTGGCCCCCTGGTAAAAATGTGTTTGACACCCCTGATGTGTATCTTTATACACTTTTCACCATGGTTTAAAATAACAGGGGCATCACGTAAACATTACCCAAAAAGAAAGAGCTCTCTTGTTAAACCTTTTGATGGAAAATAATGTGAACAAAAGTTCAGAATGCCACAAAGACAGCTATGCATGTTTAATAAAAATACCCTTAGCCCATTAGTTTCATATTTTTGGACCTGCATGTATCATTTATCTGGACTGAAAGCTCATACGTCCTAATAAGGCTACGTGGAGTTCTTTGAATGTTGATCAAATGAAATGCTGTAACTCACCAAGTTTAACTCTGTGGTTGGCTGAATGCCATTTCTTTTTATAGATTCTTACTAAGAGGATTGGTCTGTTACTAATATCCTATTGAACTTATAAGGCGGTTACATTCCTGAACATTTTTTTTCAATTCTTCTCACTTATTACAGGACTTTTAAAGGAGTGGCATTTTCGGTGTAAATTTTCGGGGAAGCACAAATGTTGGGTGGTGCAGGATAAATCTCAGTGTTCTGGTCCAGGAAAGAATACCAGGGTTTTATCTAAGTCCAGGCCTGACAGGAAATATGTCATCTTTACCAGAACAATGAGAAAAGGCGTTTTCTTCTTCTTGTTTTTTTGTTTTGTTTTTTAACAGAACTGAATAAAATTGAACAGACCTGGACCTATGTGGTTCCATTCATGTGATTGTCCTGGTACTATTAGAATACAATGGGTGGTTCAGACAAGCATAAAACGAAACAGATGAAATCTGTTATCCAATAAAAATGTAGTACAAAAGCTGCCAAGTTCATACTGCTGCCAGTAGAATATAGCTGGGTTGGACACATAGAGAGATATTTAAACTTCTATATCTGCGCTCCACTAGCTTTACAGCTTTGATAAATCAAGCTGCTATTGGACATCTTGGACGGATGGCGCAACTCTTCAGAGATAAGGTCAATCTTTCAGTTCAATATACTGTACATGGGGCCCACATGGGACATAATTATGCAAACACATCAAACATGTCAATGCTTTTTGATAATAAACCGTCAAATAAGTCTACTGGCTCTGGCCCGTTCTCCTTTTACAGCACAAGTGTTCTTGGATATTGTGTACCAACGTGTCTTTTTGTGTTCTTGGATATTGTGTACCAACGTGGTGCTCGGGGCACCTGGTAGACTACCTAAGGTGACTGTGGGGTAGGGTCTAAAAATAAAACTAGTCAACAAGAGGGTCAAAGGTTGTACAGTTACTGTGCTTTTTGAATCAGTTCCACTTGCGATCATATTCAAATGGGTGCAAAGACGATGGTAAGAAGAGTGTCTACTATGGTATGTCCCAGAACTTTATTATTACATTGTTGGGGAAGACTGTGCAGAACATTTAATTTTAAATTTAGTTACGTTGTTGGGGAAGTCTGTGCAGAACATTTAATTTTAAATTTAATTTTTATTTATTTCATTTTATTGATATACAATCAT